GTGGTGGCGCCTCAGGGAGCGGTGCTGGCTTCCTGCTCGCGGGCGGGGGCGGGGAACTTTCGCTTGTACTTCCACATTGTTTCCCACACGTTGGAACAGGCATGTGTCCTTAAAATAACATGTTACAGATAACCAGCCTGTAGGAACCAGGAGGCCTGGCCAGTCAGTCCCCCGTGGGGGGTGTGTAGGAGGCAGCTGATTGATGTTTCTCTCCCATCGATGTTTCTAGCTCTCTATCCCTCTCCCTTCCTCTCTGTAAAAAGGTCAATAAAATATATTTTTTAAAATGTTATGTGTGCAAAGGACAGCCTGGCATCCAGCATGTAAAGTCCCCCTCTGACCCCCCTAAACCGCTGAGCCTCCCCTGTGGGCTCGTCACGAAAACCCTTTGCAAAGGTGAGGTGTGAGCCGACACAGCTTCCCTGCTGAGGAGACACATATTTTGGAAGATCCATTGTTTTACGGTCATGTGTCACAAGTGCAGATCGGTTATCTGTGACGTGTTGTTTTAAGAAGGAAACTCGCCTGTTCTAAGGCGTGGGCAACAACGTGGGCGTACAGTCGAAGGTTCCCGCCCGCGCCCACGGCCACGCCCGCGAGTGGGATGCCTGGCACCGCTCCCAGGCGCCCGGGCCTCTGCCGGGGGTCAGCCTTTCACAGACTTGGCCCCAGAATGGGTGTTACTGTCCTCCGGGCAGCTCCGTCCTTGGAGAGGGAGACACGCGGCCAGGAGGGGAAGGGACCGCGGTTTCTCGGGAAAATGGCCTCGGCTTTTCCCACGTCCCGTCCCGAGGGAGCGGGAGGCCGTCCTGCTGTCTCCGTCCCGTCAGCACGGGCCCTGGCGCAGCCCCGCCGAGGCTGACGGAGCGAAGTGCGGCGCCAACACAGCATCTGAAGCAAAACTCAAAACACGGCTGACAGCTGCTCCCGTGAAACCAAAACCAAGAAGGGCCCCTGCCGATCGGCTCGGCGCTCAGACCAAAGACCGGGCTGGACTCTGGTCGAGGGCTGTACCTGGGTTACAGGCTCGGTCCCGGCCCCAGGCTGGCTGTGTGTCTGTCTCCCCGTCCCTTCCACTCTGAGAATCAGAGGGAAGATACCCCAGGGGGGGGAACAACGAACGTGTGTCAGCTCTCAGCTGCAGCCAATCGGGAGCTGCAGAGCTGCCCGGCTCCCAGGGCTGCATGAACTCATCTCTTGGGGATGTGAGAGGCTCACCTTAAGTCTTCGTGTAAGTTTTTATCTATGTGTATAAAAGTCTAAGCAGCTGGAACGAGTGGTTGCTATGACATGCACTGACCACTAGGGCACAGACACTCAGCACAGGAGCTGCCCCTGGTGTTCAGGGCACCTCCACAGCCAGCCTTCCCGGCTGGCCACCCTCCTACGGCCCCTCCCCCGGGCCCTGGGGTGGGTGGTGGCAGTTGCAGCATCTTTCCCGGGGGGGCCAAGGGACGGCTTCCTTGGGGCAGACGGCCAACCTCCCATGCCCACCTTTCCTGGCCCACAGGCCCCGACCAGCCCACTGCCCACCTGCCTCGGAGGCCGTGTGGCAGTGAGGGGAGGAAGGAAAGGGGGGGAACGTGCAGTGGTGGCATTAGTGTCCGGCGTCTGTCCCTTCCACGTCTGTAGCTTCCTCTCCAGCCCGGCCCTAGGCAGAGTCCTGTATCTCTTATATCATTGTCTATAATTTCCACATCTATTTCTTTTATTTTTTCAATGTATTTTTATTGATTTCAGAGAGGAAGGGAGAGGGAGAGAGAGAGAGAAGCATCAATCATGAGATTGGCTGCCTCCTGCACGCCCCACATTGGGGATCAAGCCCACAACCCCAGCATGCGCCCTAATCAGGAACTGAACTATGACCTCTTGGTTCATAGGTCGAAGCTTAGCCACTGAGCGCTCAGCTGGGCCACATCTAGTTTCTTTAAAGCAAAGTGAAAAGGTTCTTGCAAAACAAGTCCTTGCAGATTTAAATGCATTTCTCTCAGCCTTTCACAATCATCATTCCCACAACCAGTCCGACAGACTTTCTCTGAGGATCCTGTCCACTCCTCTGAAAGCACTCACCTTCGTCTTCATTGGAGCACCTTTCTTTTTGCACTCACACACTAATGTTTCAATAATTTAATAATCAATGTAATAGAGCTTAATTAAATCCCCTCAGGAGAGTGTAATAGGTGTGACCAGGTGCGGGGACGACTGTGAGGATTCTCCTGGGGCGTGGCTCCCCCGTGGGAGGAGGGGGCACCCTCTGCCCGGGAATGGCGGGTGTTAAACTTTCTACTATCACGTCACCTACGGTGTCCTTGGGGCCCATTATCCCGTACATGACAAGGTCTTCGGACTTTGAACACCTGCCAACACCTGGGACATCGGTGGAATGAATATGGAGAAGCCGAGTTCCAGCCTGAGAGTGTACCCACCACCTAGATCTCAGAGGCGTGCACACGCACACACACACACACACATGCACGCGCGCACACACACGCACGCACATGCAGGGGTGCACACACGCGCGCGCACGCGCACACACGCGTGCACACGCACACGCACGCACATGCACGCGCGCGCGCGCACACAGCGACGGATCTGAAATGTCACTCAGTTCGATAAGTGCCCGCTGATACAATATCTCTAGAAGGGAATGTTTTATCCACCTAATTCCGTGAGGACGGAAAACCACGTCCTCAGAGGAGACGCCAGCGCCTTGCACGTGCTCAGTAGGCACTTCCTGCCAGTGCCGGTGAGATCTGCCCACGCCAATGTCGGCGACATCTGTGCCCGAGAGGAGATGCAGTAGCAGACACGGGTCCTCCGAGTGAGCCGCGTGGGCACACAGGGTGCCTGGGCGGAGGCAGTGATCTGGGAAACTGGTGCCAAGGTCACTGAGGTCACAGCATCTGACACCGTCGCAATGTGACACCATCTCCACGCCAGTCAGCGAGGGTGGACGGGAAGAGCTCTGAGCTCCCAGTGCACAGCAGCCTGCAGACACACATCTCCTGATGTCATCAAAGAGGTTAACAGCCTGGCCAGTGTGTCCAGTGGGTAGCGCGTCGGCCTGCTGGCTGAAGGGTCCTGGGTTCAATTTCAGTCACGGGCACATACCAGGGTTGTGGGCTTGATCCCGTCGGGGGCTGTGCAGGAGGCAGCCGATCAATGATTCTCTGCTATCATTTATGTTTCTCTCTCCCCCTCCCTTCCTTCCTGAAATCAATAAAAATCTATTTTTTTAAAAAAAAAACAAAAACGGGTGCAGGCAGCTGGACACATGCCACCAGGAAGGGTACAGCTCCGGGCCCACAGCTCCGGGCCAGCCAAGAGCCGCATCCCCTCCAGGCGGATTCCCTGGCTGCAGAGGAGGGAGACCCATCCGTCCTTCATTTTCCTCTTAATTTTTTTTTTTGTCTTGATGCATAAGGACAAATCTTTGCATAAAAGATGGAGAGAAGGACTCAAAAGCCCCAGAAACCCGGCAGAGACCAGCGTGGGCCAGGTCCCGGCGGAGCTGCGGACGGAGGTCTGGGAACCTGGCCAGTGGGCGCTGAACCCTCACTCGGTCCAGTTCTCACCGCGACAGACCCGGAGGAGGGAGAGGCCGGTCTCTGCGGGGACCCCTCTCCCGCCTCTCAGCCCCGTCCGCGGCGCCAGGCTGGAGACACCGCCACCCGCCCGCCCTGGGCAGGCGCTTCCATGGAGCAGGAGGAGCCGGGGATCAGGGATCAGACTGGAGCAGGAGGAGCGGGGATCAGGGATCAGATCGGAGCAGGAGGAGCGGGGATCAGGGATCAGATCGGAGCAGGAGGAGCGGGGGATCAGGGATCAGATCGGAGCAGGAGGAGCGGGGATCAGGGATCAGATCGGAGCAGGAGGAGCGGGGATCAGGGATCAGATCGGAGCAGGAGGAGCGGGGATCAGGGATCAGATCGGAGCAGGAGGAGCAGGGATCAGGGATCAGATCGGAGCAGGAGGGCCGGGTCCTCTCCGGGCGGCGTGGGGCGCGGCCCGGGCAGACCGCCCTTCGCCCGGAGGCCGCACGTGGCCAGGCGGACGCCGACCAGGACTTTAGCGGATTTGTCCGAACTTCCGGACGTCCCGCCGGACTCACGCCCAGGTGCCGCTGCAGGGGCCGGAGGCTCAGACGCAGGCTGGCCTGGGAGCCGGCGGTCAGGACCCCGGGGGCCGGCCCTCGGTCCCGTCCACGCCGGGGACCTGCCGCTCTTTGACCCGACAGGCCCGGGCGCCCACCCACCCCCGCTCAGGGGGACCGCCCCGCCGTCTGGGTTCCGCGGGAGTCCCGGCGGGAGGGGTGGCCGCAGGTTTCCCGGGGCGGGGGGGGGGGGCCGGAAACGTTACGCGGCGGCTCCACGCGCCCCAAGAAGGTGGAAACCAGGAACCGGTCCCGGTGGGACCCACCGCCGGCACCCGCGCTCCCGGCCCCCCACCCCCGGCTGGCGGAGGGCCCGGGGGCGGGGCGGGGGAGGTGACCGGGCCGAGGCGCCCGGAGCCCCTCCCCCTCCCCTCCGCGGCGCCGCGCGCACCGGTCAGGTGTCTCCGCGCCCGGGGCGGGCGGGTCCCAGGTCCCGGCCCGGAAGTCTGTTGGCGGCACCGGGCGGGGCGGGGGCGGGGCTCGGAGCTTTAGAAACAAACACGCGTTTCTGTGTCCGCAGGGGGCGGCGGGGCTCCGGTCCCGTCTGGGGGGAGAAGGGCTGGTCCCCGCGGCTCCCCGACGCCCCGGGCGGACGGCGAAGGGGAACGTCGCCGGCGGCCCCAGCGCACCGCGCACCGGCCCGCGCACAGCCCCGTGGCGGGGACCCTCCGGCGGCGGCGCGCACGGCGTCCCCTCCACCTGCGGCCCGTGCCCCCTGGGGCCCCGCCCACCCCGGGCCCGCCCCCGCCCCGTAGCCCCGCCCCGCGCGCCTGCGTCCGGCCGGGCCGCTCCGCCGCGCCTGCGCAGAGGCCTCGGCCCGCTCCGCCCCGCCCTCCGCCTGGCGGACGCGGCCGCTACAGAAAATGGCGGCGGCGGCGGGGACTCGCTCGTCGTCGTCGGGACTGGCGGGCGCGGAGGCGGGCGGAGGGTCCCTGCAGGCGGGCGGGGCGCGGGGCGCGGACTGGCGGCGGCGGCAGCTGCGCAAGGTGCGGAGCGTGGAGCTGGACCCGCCGCCGGCCCCGCCCCGGTCCCCGTCCCCCGCGCCCGAGCCCGCGGGCGGCAGCGCTGCTCTGCCGGTGCCCGAGCCGCCGCCGCCCGGAGCCGCCGGCCGCGCCGGCGCCCACGCCCCGGAGCCCGGGGACCGCGGAGACCCGAGCGCCGCCGGGACCGAGCCCGCGGAGCCGCCGCCTGCTGCCGCCGGGTGAGCCGCGGGCGGGACGGGGCGCGGGGCGGGGAAGGGCGCCGGATTGCGGGGTGCGCGCCCTCCGGGTCGGGATCGGTGATTGTTCGCGGCCGAGCTGGCGCCGTCCCGGGGCGCCGGGACGCGGGAGGCCGGCGATCGGGACTGGCGAGCGCTGGGCGGACACGGGCCCGGCCTCGGGCAGACGCGGGGGCGCCTGTCACGGCCCGGGACCGGCCCGGCTCCGGACGCGGCGCCGGCTGCTCCGGGGACGCGGCTGCACCACAAGGACCGCGGCGGCCTGGCTGGCCGTTTGCGCGCCTGGCTCCGGGCCGCGTGTCCGCCTGTCCGCTCCCGGCGGCACCTGCCCCCGCAGCCGCCCCGCGAGGCCGGGACCCGGGCCGGCAGCCGCCGGACGGGGACCTCGCCCCGCGGGTCTAGCCGGGCGCCTGTCTGTGCAGGGACTTTCCCTCCGTGGGGCGGGCCACCCGCGCTCCATGGTCTCCGCGGAGTGTGCACCGCGCGGTCCGGGCGTGTGCGGCCGCCCCTCCCCGAGCGGCTCTGACCTTTCCCGCAGCGCTCCCGGACCGCACCGGACAAGCGCTGGTTTTGGTTAACGTGCGGAGTGATTTGGCACTTCTTTAGAACTTGGCGAGTTAAAAACGCCGTGTTTTCCTGGGAGGGTGTCCGCGCGCGCACACGCCGACCCCGAAATCACGGTCACCCCGCGCCGCGCGCCCAGGGAAGGGCACCGGCCGGCGCTTCCTGTCCGCGCCCCGAGCCCGGGAGAGCGATTCTGAAAGCAGCCGGCCGCCCACAGGCTCCAGAGAAAACACGGAACCCGAGTGTGGTCACCCCCCTGCTCGCAGGAGACCACCGTGTGCGGGTTCGGTCCCGTTCCGCCATGTCCGCACCTGCTGGGGACGAGCTGCGGGGCGAGCCTCCGTGCTGGCTCCGCGGAGCGGGACTAACCGGGCTGGCGGATCCGGGCTGAGGGAGGTCCCGGTGTGCCATCGGCATCCATACCGAGGTCTTCCCTCTTTGTTTATGGAGCATTCTCTCTGCAAAGAAGGTGAAATAATGGGCTTATCAGCATGATCGTTTTTTAAGGGTGAATTTCACGGGCCAGAATGCTAGTGTATTCACCCCCAATGTCATAACTGAAGACTTTTTATGGTAAAAGATTCTCCAGCTTTTGAAATAGTGACTCCCCCCCCCCCCGCCCCCAGCCCAGTTTCCTTGTCAAGAGAGTTAAAATTCATTTGAGTCTGTTGGTATAAACACTTTCATTGTAAGCCGCTCAGTAAAATCTCATTTGAACTCTGCATTTCAATTTTCTTGACAATAGTCACATTCATACTTCCAGGAGGAAAATCCTGCGATTTGGAACTGCTTTTACGTGGCAGTAGTAGCCGGGTCTGGGAGCCTTCTGTCTAGAGAGAGTTCTGTGACATTTTATTCCAGAGTTTCCTCCTGTGGTCCATCTTTGGATGTAGAAATGGAACGTGTAGAAAGTGCATTTGTGAAGTATAAATTGCACAAATAATGCTTGTATTAAAAATAGAAGGTTCCAGTCTGCCCCTCATCCTCGGGGTCGCAGCGAAGTCAGTGAAGGCTTTGTGCCTGTAAGTGGCGCCCAAGGGTTTGGAATTTTTCCTTATTTTGCAGAATTAGGGGCTTTTTCTTCCAGTGTGCTGTCTTTGAAGAAAAATTACAGTGCTGCTCTCCAGCGAGCAGGCTGTTGAGAGTTTGGTGGATATAATTACTCCATCCTATTTTTGTAACAAAAAGGCCTGGCTATCAGTTTGCTGGCCCAATGAGCAGACGAGGTGTCTGTGCTTGTAAATGTTGGTTTTTGTTTAAAACTGAAGCTGTTTCGTAGGCTGCTTCCTACCTCCTGGCACTCAGCTTTCACTTCCTGTTAGACTCTTGCAAGGCTAAAAATACAACGTAGTGATTTAAAGGTTTTTTTGTGTGTGTTGTTTTGTTTTGTTTTACTAAAGGAGGTATGGGAACATTACTACCTAAAAGTAAAATTTTTAATTATGTTGGTTGATCCTAGATAATAGAAAGTTACATAAGTGAGGCTTCCATGAATGTGTGTGTTGTGTAGCTGTGTAGGTCTCCGAGGTCTGTTTTGAACCAGGGAGGGAATTAATGCGTTCTTCAGAATTAACCTTATTAAATATGGTTCTGAAAGGGAAAGATGAGCGCTGGCGTTGGTGCCAGCTCCTGTTTTCCTTTCCTATCTGATGCTGGCGAGGGGACCGGTTCGCCAGCATTCCTCCCTGCCTGGCTCCTGCGCACAGCAGCTCTGCTGGGCTGGGCGCTGAGAGCGGGAGCAGCCCTCCGGGCAGACAGGCCTGGCTCCTGGCTCCTGGCTCCTGGAGCCGAGGGCGCAGGTCTCAGACACGTCCGACCTGTGACCTATGACCTGTGGCGTGAAGGTTGCCACATAGGGAAAGAGGCGTGCCCTTCGCCTCCCGCTGAGCAGGGCCAGCTGCAGCTTGCCTGGCGTCTGAGGGCTGCTGGCCCAGCTTCCCCAAGAGACAGGGTGGCCAGGCCGTTTCCAGGACGGTCCCCGGAGGGGAGAACGGGGCAGCCTTGGCATGGTGCCGCCCGTTCCGGGTGAGAGGCGTTTGGCTGTGGTGGCGGCGGCAGGGAGCTGGGGTGGCATGGGAAAGTGACCGCCTGGAGCTATAGCCGCCTCTCACCTGGGACGCCCAGCTGACCAGGTCTGCCCTGGGCTCCGTGTTGTCCTAGTCCTGGCTGCCTCACACCCTGAGTCCAAGTTGGACGGCGCTGAGCAGGGGAATGGGGAGATGGATGGGAGAAAATGGATCAGGAATGAACCACGTTCTTCAGGAATACTTTAAGATTGTAAACGGGAGAGGATCAGGAACGCTGAAAGCAAGTGGCCCCTCCGGGGCCAGAAGCAGGTGCGGCTGCAGCTGAAGCACTGCTGGGACTGGGGGCCGGAGGGGAGGGGAGATGCCTTTTCTGTGGTTGCCTTCCCTGTCGCCATAACCGTCACCGGTGCATCTGATTTCGCTTCTGAGGCAGAATTCGTGTGCGATCATGAAGCCATCATCACACAACCGGACGAGCTGGGTTCATGCACGTCCTGACTACACGGCCCCTTTCTCCGCTGCTCTTTGCTGCCTCCGTTTCTTTTTCAAATTAATAACCAGACTAGCGAGCCTCTAAGGCGGAAGTGGCCCGGAACAAGCTGGCAGGTTTGTCTGCAGGCCAGCGCCAGCCCCGCTCGCTCCGCAGCCTGGCCGAGCCGCAGTGCAGCCAGCCCAAGTGCGGAGACGGCTCGCTCCTGCTGCATTCATCGTGCGTGACCTCGAGGAGAGACTGTCCCTGGGCTGGGCTGCCCGGGTCTGCCTCGGACCCTTCGCCAGCATTTACCCCTGCAAGGCCGCGATCGGCGTGCGGGAGGGAGAGCATCCCATAGACCAGTCCTGTGGGTAGATCTTGAGGCGAACAGGTGTTACATACAACCCCACGTTCAGTGCAGTGACATAGGACTCCAGATTACACACATGTGCTTGGGATCTCACCGCACGGCCCACACAGTGCCCCTCTGACTTCTGAGGGCCTGGGCCCCCCAGGCTAGTTTCGAGGGCCTGAGCATTGTTCTTCCCTTTGGTCCCCTGGCGTTGGCTCTGCCTCTCGCCTCCCGTGTTCCTGGGACGCGCGGTCCAAGGCTTAATGTCCACGGGGTGGAAGAGCAGTCTGGGTCCCAGGTTATTTCCAGCCACTCCTGCCTGTGCTCTTAGGTCCACAGGACGCACTCGGAAGGAAAAGTAAAAACGGCCTGGGGAGCGAGAAGCTCAGTGCCGGCCAGGCCATCGCTGGCTTTAAGCCTGTCTTTCCTTCGAGAAACCAGCTCTGCTGGTTGGGAACAACAGGAGCTCCATGCTTGTGGCCGTGGGGCTGGGGCCGTGGGGGAGGAGGAGCCGTCCTGGGGCCTGAGCACCAGCCGCATTGAGTTTGGGGTCAGGAGCTGTGAGGTTCTCGGGGCCCCTCAAGCCCCTCCTCCTGAAAGGACGGTGCCACCTGGGAGCTCCTCAGGAACCCCAGGCCTCTCGGAGGCGGGCGTGGGCGCGGTGAGGGGTGAACTTGCTTGGCACACGTCAGCGTGATGGTGAGGGATGTGTGGCGAGGGAGGGAGGGAGGGAGAGAGGGTGCTGGGTGGTGGCGGAGGCTTCACTCCTGACTGATGCGATGGTCGCCGTTAGTGCCCGAGTGGTCCCTTCCGGCGGGTCTAGCGGCCCTCGGTGTCCTCGCTGTCCTCACCGACGCCAGCTGGTGTCTGGCCTGGGGAGCAGTGCCAGGCGCCACTTTAAAATCGGTGGATCCGAAGGTGACAGTGACCCACCGGTGTGAGTCCGTGCGTGTCTGCTCGCGCGCTCCAGGCGCGGCCTGTGCTCAGGAGCTGTGGTGCCGGCTTGGTGTCAGCTCTTGCTGTCTAGCACGTGGGAGTCGGTAACGTCGATTAGTCACCAAGTGGCCAGAGCTATGCTCCAGCTGTCTGGTGCTGGGAGTCCAGGCTCTGCAGTTGGGAAGCGTCTGGCGTCTGGGCTGGTGGACGGCCCTCCCTCTGTGGACCTGACCATCCTTCCTCTGGCCCCGTCATCCTCCTCAACGAGAACGTGAGCAAATGGGGTCCCAGGCTTCGTCAACTCCTCCGCCCCCCCAGCCTCAGCAATGCCTTTGGCCTGTGATGGGCATGGCCCCCCTGGAGGCTTCCGGGCCTCGAGGGCGTGTGGCCTGCGACCTGCCCGCTGCCTCCTGCTGCCCGTCCAGTCCACTCTCCCTGTTATGTAGCCAAAGTGACCGTTCACAAGAATAAATCTGCTTATAAGTTTCTTCTGGCCAAAACCGGTTTGGCTCAGTGGTAGAGCGTCGGTCTGTGGACTGAAAGGTCCTGGGTTCGATTCCGGTCAAGGTCATGTACATTGGTTGCAGGCACATCCCCGGTGGGGGGTGTGCAGGAGGCAGCTGGTCGATGT